ATGGCTGACTAATATCCATACACACACACACACACACACACACACACACCCCTTTATCTATTCATCCATCAGTAGACACATAGGTTGTTTCCATACCTTTACTGTTACAAATAATACTGCAATGAACATGAGGGTGCAGGTATCTTTCCCAGCTAGTGTTTTTTCAGAGTAAAACTCCAGAAGTGGAATTGCTGGATCATATGGTAGTTCCTATTTTTAACTTTTTGAGGAACTTCCATACTGTCTTCCATCTGGCTGCTCCAATATATATTCCCACCAACAGTGCGCGAGGGTTCGCTCTTCTCCACGCCCTCACCAACATTTGTTATTTCTCGGCTTTTGGATAACAGCCATTCTAACAGGTGTGAGGTGACATCTTATCGTGGTTTGGATTTGCATTTCCCTGGCGATGCTGCGCACTTTTTCCTGTACCTGTTGGCCACCTGTATGTCTTCTTTGGCAAAATGTCTATTCAGATCCTCTGCCCACTTTTTAATCAGATTGCTTAGTTCTTTAGATATTTTGGAAAGTAACCCCTTATCAGATACATGATTTGCACACATTTTCCCCCATTCAGTAGACTAGCATTTCATTTCATTGATGGTTTCCTTTGCTGTACAGAAAAATGTTTTCCTATTTTTAAATTCTTTCCAATTATTACTCCAATAGATTTAAGTCCGGTTCTAATAAAATCACAGACATAACCTCAAAGGGTAGGTCTGAGAAGGATAAAAAAAGATACGAAGAGAAGGATAAGAGATCAAAAATCACATGGATTTTAAAACAGGTACTTATTCCAGAGATAATATAATTACCTTAATAATAACATTAGTGTAATAAAGCACTAAACTTAGTCCTAAGATTCCAGAGAGCAAGATTCCAGATCTCTCAATGTCTGACAAATGGAAACATATTACTTCTTTTAGGAAAAAAGTCCTATTTTTTTCTGGCAATAAAATGACCTCTTTTTTACACAAATGTTTGTTGAGTGACTACTATGTGCCAGGCACTGGCTAAACGCTGAACAAAAGAGACAAGTCCCTGCTCTCATGCTGGCCCCTGTGGACCTTCCATGGGCCTCCTCACCAGGACTGGGTCACCCACACAGCATGGGAAGCCTTCAATGGAGACCACAGCTAATGTCCTTCAAATGCACGTTCTTTTTTATCTCATGTACATTAGAATGCCAGACGTCCAAGAGAAAAACATCTATATTAGTATGCCTCCTCTTCATTTCATCTCCACCCCATTTCTCCCTCCAACAACCATGACATCCGAACAAAAATAAACAAAACACAAGCCAAGAACTCTGCTGTCTTCTCTCGGAAATAGCCAATTCCTGGCGTCCCTATTTGTGGTGTCAGCTTACTAATGTCGAGAAGGGGAATCAAGCAGAAATGTGTTGTCTTTCATGCACCAACGTGAAGACCATAAACTAAGACCTCACAGTGCACGTGTGATATGAAATCACTTGTGAAGCTAATGCAGACTCTGGTCGGGTTATAGATCCCTGAAAGCACGAAAGTCATCATTTGACTCGAATGCACATCAAACCAGACGTGGAAAATTTCTTTTACAGGAAAAAAGGAAAAAAATCTGATAATATTATTATTATTATTATTATTATTATTATTATTATTATTATTATTATTATTATTAGAGTTCCAAGTTATTCCAGGTCAGTAAAGACTCTCCTTACCGTCGATGGTAACGTGGACAACAAACAGCCCTTCTTCATTTCCCAGAGCGATTCTTTTGTGATCTATATTTGACACATAGATAAAAATGTCAAGGATTTTGGGGGGCAAGCATTAAGTGAAGTTAATAGGATACACTGGACAAATTTATCGATGTTAAAAAACTTTAGAAGACAAACTGAATACATACATAGCAACATTACAGTGAAAAGAAACATAATAAGAATAATTAATTTGCGCTACGATTTTTCTCTCAGATTACAGAAGTAAGCATAACAAAACATTATTTCTCTCAATTAGAAAGCTCATAATAAAGTAATCTTTATGGACACTCAAAAGAAGTATAATATTCAAGTAACAATATACTTTCAAATTTGCTATTAATAAGTGATGTTTCATGAATGAAAAACGTTCCTAAATGAATTTATTGGTGACCTTGGCCTGAGCTGTCACAGCACAGGGTTGGGAGGTGTCAGAACATAGGGAGAGCGAAAACTTTAAGTGCAAAGGGAGCATTTACTGAGTGAAGGTTCTGAGTACAAAGCGCAGGACTACGTATATTAGCTCAAATCATCGCCACGACTGAAAAACTGGGATTATCTGCATTTAATACATGAAGTTTAGTAACCAGCTCCATGTCACCCAGGAGTAAATAGCTAAGCGGCCCTCACTGTCACCATTATCTGATGCAAAAGAAATGCTGTTTGAGAAATCCAACTGCTCTTGTTTATTGCTACAATGTTCAACATTGACCTTAGCAATTCATTCACTGATTCGCTTGTTTTTTTGCTTATTTACTGAGTACTGGGCGGGGGCATATGCAAGTCTCTGCCCCCCAGGTAGACAGTTCATAGTCACATTCATGGCCATGATCTTTATGTTTGGGCCAGATGTGTTTGGGAACTCAGAATTTTTCAGACAAGAAAGACACGACTGTATCTTTCTTGAAAGAAACACCCTTTTAGGCAGGGCCTGGGAACCATCATGTAATCAAATGCACTTTTGCAGAGAATCCTACAAGTAGCCATGGGATGGAGGGGGAAGGACCACCCCCCCCCACCCCCACCGCTGATGGCCTCATTCCATCAGGTTTTGCTGACAAGTGAGTTGTGAATAAAGTTAAGCGTTTCAGATTCCGATGTGGGGCTGTGGGGAGGGGTGCAAACCGAGCGGGATAAATGCTGCAAATCCGTACCTATGATTGCAGCTGTCTGGGTGGTTTTGATCAGGGGCAGATGGCGGTCACAAGCCTCTTTCGGAGCATAGACTGAGCGGTCTCGGGGATGGCTTTTCCTCAGCACCTCGTGCAGCTCACTCAGCACTCCCACCCACTCACTCTTCTCATTCTCGTTGTCTGCTAATACCAGGACTGAATATCTGTCACTAGGCGTGGAGAGCTGGGAAGCTGTGACCTAGAACCATTTAAGGAAGAGCCAGGTTATAAGAAAGCAAACACGCTTTATGCCAGCCTGTTTAGCAGTTCTCATGAAACTCACCACTAGTAAATGACACTTCCAAGAATATCACCCTCTTCCTGGTTCCTAGAATAAATGATGGGAGGAACGTGGGACCCCAGCCAAAAGCAAAATGTCAGAATCACCTCCACTTTGAGCCTCATAAAAATACCAGTGTTCCCCGACAACCTAAAATCTTAGACTTCATCAAATGAAAACAGTTACCATTTGTTGAATGCTGACTCTTTATGGACTGTATCCTGAGAGCTGACGCTGTACCGGGAACGGCTCTAAGAAATTTGCATGTGTGTTAATGGATTGAGTCCTCACAGAAACCTCAGTGGGTAGGTAGATACCATTCATTCCCTTCATTTTATCAGTGAGAAGACGGGGGCACAGGGGGGTAGAGTGCAGGCGATCTGATACCACAGCCTCCACTCTGAGCCGCTCAGCTCTAACACACAGCTTTGTACCTTGAGACATGTCTGAATCGGCAATGTGTTTTGCCGTTGCGATCAACATAATCAACTGTGGTACAATGAAAACGGTCAGGAGTTTTTTTTTGTTTTTAAGTTAGAAATATTCAGAAATACCTATGATTTCCTGTCTGCTGCATGCTTGTAACTTACATCACCACTAGTAAATGGCAAATCAAATTTCAATTTAAAACTATATAATCAGGCTAGGAGAACTCTAAATTGATAGAGAAAACTGTCTTTGTGGGGAACACCAAGTGAGGAGCAGTGACATAATGAATTCCCACTCTGTAAGTCGCAGTTCTGATGGCCAGGTCTTTGTAAGCTCTCTCGGCGGTTGGGTGGGGTCTAAATAGACGTATATCCGTGACTAAGGAACTGAGTATCCTCCTTTCTGGCCTTTGTTAACATACAAGACTCACAGCCTGACTGTAACCACATGGGTTCACAAGAGGACAGCAGTCTTTCGCTTTCTCTGTCTCTTTCTTTAAGTGACATTCCAGAATCGCTTTAATTTTATTTTAGCCCTTTTTTTTTTAAGAGATTGGAACACTACATCCTTCCCCGACTTTTCCACTTTGTATTCTTGGTTTGAATCGGAAGTATGACTTCAAAATGTTGCCTCAGAGGGAACTTATTTTACCAACGCCTCTAGTTTTAGAAACGGCACATTCATGCCACTGCGGGTCCATGAATGGTCAGCTGTGTCCGTCTGCCCAGGACGTATGTCATCTCTCTTTCCCTGTTACTGTTTTTTCCCCTCCTTTTTCACCACCCATCCCAGTTTGTAAGCTTCTAGTGTTTTCAGCTCTGAATCTGAGGTCTGTCCTGCTAGCTCAGTGTAGAATGAAAGGACACCCTCAGGAACATTTGCATTTTAAGTCTTCGATTTAACTGCAGGATGAAAAGACTGTAACACATGCAAAAAGCTGTTATTTATAGTATTTTTGAATAAGGGGATAGAGTTCTTGTGGCAAGTGGGAGGGAGGGGAAAATGATCCCACAGCTCTTCTAAAACCTCAACCTCCAGTGACCTTCAGCAGCCCAAGGAGCCCTGACCCCTGTGGACAGGCAGGGAACGTGTGAAACAAAACATTTTAAGGGGTCCGACAGAAGCATGCAGGCTTACTTTAAATATACGAGGCATTTCTCTTCTCTTTACAGGAATAAAATCTGAGGGCCAGACTGAACTGACAGAAAATGCTCCATCCCTGAAGGAAAAACAAGATACTGGGCGTGAGCAGAATCACCTGAAAATGAGTAAATGATACATTAACATAATCCTCGATTTTAATCTCCCTGATTTTTATTCTTTTCGGTAGTCACTGACAGTGATCAAAACACTGTAGCCGCAGGACCCGGCCAGCTGCACGTGATCAGAAAACCCACGCGGTTAACCCTGACTCACAGTTCCCTTGGGAACGGGGATACGGGCACCTGTCTGACCCCAAAGCCACAAGAATACGGGCCATGTGCCCTCAGGTCAGCTCATCTGTATATTTTTTAAATATGGCTGAAATATACTTGACACATAATAAGCTATGCATATTTAAAGTGGACAATTAGATGAGTCCT